GAAAAGAAGCATCAACACCTATCAGTTACTACAAACATAAAGAATTAGAACTCGACCCTTATAAACCCATGGTCGAATACCAGATCATAACAATGGATGAATTAATCGACCGAAAAAAGAAAGTACCAATTAAAAACGGAAAACAATGGTGGAGGTGACCAAAATTCGAATGTGTCGAGTGTGGAAAGAAATTATCTTCCATGTCTACCACCATATATCCTGATGAAAACTGGGGCCAAGAAACCCAATATTATTGTAACAGGTGCAATAATCGATGCTTCAGCTATCTCGAGAATAAAGGGCTATGGGACGGGACCCCTTGCCTATTATGTGGCAAAAATATGCCAGACAAATATTGTTGGGAAGATATTCCAGGAGAAGGAGACGTCTGCGATCAAACTTGCAAATACGCCTACTTGATCAAATGATGAGTTCGCAACGGAACTCCTTTTCAGGCTGCTTTCTGGAGAGCCTGTGATCGTTTAAATGAAGAACCTGAAGAAAATGAACAATTGAGACGGTTAGCTCTTAGATTTTTGGAAGGAGGATCAAGAGAAGAGATTCGACAAATGAAACAAGAAGAATATTATGTCTATCTTGACGAAGTCGCCGATTATGATTGGCTGGATGATCAAGGAATCTTTCATGAAAATTATCAACGATTGAGTCCGACTCGAAACCGACAGGAAGAAAGACTCGCAACTATGGGTATTCAACTATGCTCTGCCTGTTTAATACCTTGTCAGGATAAGTTTTGCGACGACTGTTGGCCCGAGATAATTCCGGTGCCAAACGAAGAATGGACCGACCAACCTGACTGGTTTGAAGAGGTTGAAGAACAAATTTTTAACACTATTATGGATTATCCGATACCTATTGATTTTCAAGGTCATGAACCAATTAGACCAGAGAAAATAATCAAACGACAGAAGGGTAATGAACAATCATTAAAATATTATAATCATCAAAAAGAAGGAATCCAACCAGAAAAGGCACATTCTACCGATGCTGGATTTGATCTCTGATATCCCGGAAAGAAGCCCTTACTACTGGAACCCCACACCGTAACAAAAATTGACCTCAAAATTGCTGTCGAAGTACCTGAAGGAACTATGATGCAATTAGCATCCCGTTCTTCTATGGCTGCTAAAAGAATTGTTGTCCAAGGAGGAGTTATCGACGCAGGATATACTGGAAATCTCATATTACTCTTAGAAAACAATTCCAATAAAACTTATCAAATTTTACCAAAAGAAAAGATTGGTCAAGCAATTTACCTTCCTATTCTGACCACGTCTAAGATGAAACCAGTAAAATCAAGGAAAGAATTGGAGAAAAGTGATCGAGGAACAAAAGGTTTAGGATCAACTGGACGTGTCAATAAACAAACGACTTTAATCACAGTAATCGAAGAAGTTGAAGAAGAAATCGACGAGGAAACATTAGGAATCCCAGTCCTTCTAGAAAAAACTATCTCTATTTTACCACAAGGAATGATAGTTTGGGAAAGTCGCAATGGAACACAACGCAATCCAAAACCAATGATATTCGAAGCCAATCCAGAACTCTACAAGAAAAATAATATTATCATTAATCACCAATATATTCGACCAAATAAAGAATATAAAATACAACTGACCTTCATCAACCCCAACGATCATATTATTATTCTTCAAGAAGGAACAATCACCGGATATTTAAACGAAGACGTAGATCAAGTAACGGAATTTCATAATTTACAAGAAATGGCTACTTACTTTGTTCAAAAACCAGATCGAATTAATAATTCACCAAAACGAAAGAATAAAAAATTAGAAAGTTATACACTCTCAACAGCCCAATTACCTGAAGTAAGTATTGGACCGATTAACCAGACGCAACGACAACAACTCCACAAGCTACTATTACAATACACTGATTTATTTGCTACCGATGATAATGACTTTGGCCGAACCAATTGGGTTCGTCACCAAATTAATGTC